GGCATATTTCCAACAAATCCTTTGCCGTCCGTTTCGTGGAAGCGGACGACAAAGAAGGCCTTTGCTGGCACCTGTTCAAACGGACAGTTTGCCATCTGCTGGCGTACGACAAAGATGTTTGCCGTCCGGGATCTATGCCTTTGCCGTCTGCCATGGCGGACGGCAAAGAATCTGTTTCCAGTAGTGTTAAGGGTACACGGGAATTTCATCTAGTCACTTTCATCATGATTGGTTTGATTTGTGTTTGCTACATTGATGATTTGATATGTGGGTGGACCAGTGCTTAGGTGCTGTTTTTACTTGAACAAACCTCCTACTTATGATTAACCCTCCCGCAAGCATCCGCAACTATGAGAAAAGTATTAAGAATAAATCTAACCATAGCATTAAACTTTTGGATCCAAATCAGCCCCTTACGAAAAAGTAGCACATAAACTAGGGTTTAACCTTCTGTCACTCTCGCAACCCATCACATAATAACTACTCCACAATGCATTCGCTTAGGCCCAAGTATGGTGAAGTGTCATGTAGTCGACGTTCACATGACACCACTAAGGGAATCACAACATACATACCATCAGAATATCGAACACATATCAAGTTCACATGATTACTTGCAACAAGGTTTCTCCCATGACCTCAAGAACAAAAGTAACTACTCACAAATGATAATCATGCTCATGATCAAAGGGGTATTAAATAGCATAATGGATCTGAACATATAATCTTCCACCAAATAAACCATATGTTAATGACTACAAGATGTAATCAACACTACTAGTCACCCACAAGCACCAATCTATAGTTCCGGTACAAAGATTGAACACAAGAGATGAACTACGGTTTGAGAGAAGATGGTGCTGTTGAAGATGTTGATGGAGATTGCCCTTCCCAAGATGAGAGAGTTGTTGGTGATGATGATGACGATGATTTCCCCCTCCGAGAGGGAAAGTTCCCCCGACAGAATCGCTTCGCCGGAGGGCAAAAGTGCTCCTGCCCAAGTTCCGCCTCGAGACGGCGACGCTTCGTCCCAAAAGTCTTCCCTTAATTTTTTCTAGGTCAAAATGACTTATATACCAAAAGATGGGCACCGTAGGTGGGCCGAGGAGGGCACAACCCACCAGGGCACACGTGGGCTCCCTGGCGCGCCCAGGTGGGTTTTGCCCACCTGGTGGCCCCCTCTGGTACTTATTTGCTCCAACAATTCTTATTTATTCTATGAAAATTCCCCGTGAAGTTTCAACACATTTGAAGATTTGCAGAATAGATGGCCTGACGTAGCTTTTTCAGGTCCAGGATTCCAGCTGCCGTCATTCTCCCTCTTTGAGTGAACCTTGCATATTATGAGAGAAAAAGCATTAGAATTACTCCAAAAGGCATTATTATGCATAAAACAATATAAATAACAGTAGGAAAAAAATGCAAAATGGATGTATCACTCGTCCGCACGACGTCCCACGCCGTCCTCCGTCTCGGCTTCATCTTGGACTCCGCCTCCACCACGCCTCCACCGAGCGATGTCCCCGACCTCGCGCGCGATCAGCTTGATCACCCGCTCACCGCCGCCATCCATCCCATCTATGCCACGCGATCGACCTGACCCGTCGGTGGCGCGCGCCTCCATGGGTATCGTGGCACTACGACCCAAAGGGGCGACACAGCGGCGACGAGCGAGTCGATGCAGCCGCAAGGAGAACCATGGGGCGGCGGCGCTGCTCCCGACGGGGCGACGCAATGGTTGTCCGTTGCTCGATCGGCGGAGGGGTGCGCTGAACTCAGGGACGATCGTCGGGCCGCAGCGCCGCCGCCCCATGGTTCTCCTTGCGGCTGCATCGACTCGCTCGTCGCCGCTGTGTCGCCCCTTTGGGTCGTAGTGCCACGATACGCGGTCCCCGCCGCCGCCCCGAGGTCGTCCTCGTGGTTGCACCGACCCGCGCATCGCTGCTGCGTCGCCCCTTCGGGCCGTAGTGCCACTATACGCGGTCCCCGCCGCCACCCCGAGGTCTTCCCGTCGTCACCCCGACCTGCCCGCCGCCGCTGTGTTGCCCCTTCGGGCGGTAGCGCCGCAGCCCGACGCTCCACCGTCGTCCCCGCACGTCGACCTCTCGTGGTATGCACCGCCCCGCTTCCCTGGCGCGGGAGCGCCACTGTCTGCGCCGGTCTTCGTCACGCCGTCGGGTTCCTCGCCTACTTCGAGCACCACCGCCACGCTACTTAGCCGTCGTCGCCGCCGTCAGGCCGCCGCCACCGCTCTTCTTTGGCCGCCGCCGCCGCCAATCCACCCTCTTCGTCTTCATCCAGCACCAGCCCATCGCTAGCGTCGTCGTCATCTACCCCGACCACTTCGTCTACTCTGACCATCGTTGGTGACATCGGCCCCCACGCCGATTGGCGCCACAACCGTCGTCGAGTCTTCTTCTTTGCTAGCCCTCCGATTCCTCGACATGGCGTACAACTCGTGCAGGTCCCTCATCTCCGCATGCCTGGTGCTAGCAACGCCGATGTGTGCCTTCATCCACGACTTGTCCCCGGGCCTGGTAAGCCTGGTCGATGCTTCGTCAACTTCGTCTTCGTCTGTCTTTGCATGCCCGGTGCTGGAACCACCGACGCGTGCCTTCATCTACGACGTGTCCCGGGGTCTGGCACACCCGATGCGACGCCTTGTCAACATCATCCTCCTCCTGGCGCACCACTACCTCGTCACCACTGCACCCATGACTAACTCGGCGCCTCCTTGCACCCGCGGCTCCACGGCGACTCCCTTGACACCGGCAACCCCGACTCGACATCGACCACGGCGTTCTTCGCATGGCTACCTCGACCATGGCTACACCACCCTACGCTCTCGGCTACCTCGACATCGGCACAAAGGGTTATCATCCGCTTGAGCAACTCGTCGGCTTCCTCTACAGTCAACGTGTCCGTCCGCGACGCTCCCGCTACGACTGCGGGGTGATGTCAGCCCGTCGGCCGCTGTTCTCTCCAGTCTGACCGTCCGCGAGCTCCTGTTTTTCGCAGTGCTACCGGTACGACTGCGGGGGGATGTTAGAGATATATTTGGTAGTAGAGCTTGCCCGGAATTAGATAGAGTTATTTCCATCTTATCTCTGGGAGGTGTCTTGCCCTCCAAGTCGTGTACTGACTATATACTCGCCCTCGAGACTCAATAATACAATCATCATATTCCGCCAATCCCTCTCTCCCTTCCAACAGTCTAAACGGTTACACCTTCCACATCGCTTTCTTTTCACAACACAAACCGGACTGTTTTTTTCCAAAACTTACAAGTTCATGTCTGGTCTAATATACATTCGAAGATCTTTTCACAACACAAACCGAACTGCCTTTTGTCCAAAATTTAGAGGTTCATGTTTCGTTTAAAATAAATTCGAAAATTGCAAGACTTTCAGGTTGTGTTTCAGTTTTTTCTTAAAGGTTGTGTTTCCGGGTGCCACCCCGCTAGCTGCCGTCGCCACGCGCCAACTGCCGCCCGTCCACATCGCGTGCTCCGTCCCCCACGCGGCCACACCACACCACAGTACAGTACACCGCAGCACACTGCACACGACTCCGGCCTCCGCTCCGCCTCAGCCATGGTCTCCCTCCGCTTCCCCACCGCCACCTTCGCCCGCCTCCCTCCTCCCCCGCCTCCCACCGCGCCGCCATCGCCGCCGCAATTGCCGCCGCCGCGGCGGCGGCAGCTGCAGCCGGCTTCGCCCTGACCGCCAAATCTGCCGGTCGGCCGCTCCCGCGCCCGGCGCACTCTGCACCCCTCTGGGCCTCCCTCTCCCTTGCCGACAGCGGCGCCCCCAGCAACGTCGAGCCCCGCACCGGCGCCGCATTCCCCGCCGAGACCGCCGGCGGGCGCCGCCTCCTCGGCGTCGGCCTCCTCAAGTCCATCGACGTTTACGCGTTCGGTAACTAATCAAATTTTCTTCCTTTTTTTTACATTGACAACTATAGTCGCATCGCATATTTACGGTAGAAAAGGAAACTGCAACATCGACACAGATCGTAAAATGCTGTAAACTGCAACGCCGAGAAGAGATTGTGAAATGTTGCTCTGTGCAGGCGTTTATGCGGATGACAGCGATCTGAAGCAGCTGAGGGACAAATACCAGAAGCTTCCCATCTCTGATCTGAAGGAAAGCGACGAGCTGATCAACAATGCACTAGAGCGCGACATACGTATGACGGTCAGGCTTCAGATAGTTTATGGGAGGCTGAGCATTGGCTCAGTTCGGAGCGCTTTTGAGAAGAGTGTAGGAAGCAGGCTTCAGAAGTTTGGGGGGTCAGACACCAAAGAGTTGCTTCAGAGGTAAATGCAATTCTGGTTCTTGATGAAGTGCTCTTGTTGAGAGAAGCAAATGTACATCCTTGATACTGGTTTGCAGTTGCAGACTGGCTGGATCCACTGCTATCTTCATCCTATATTTGATTTAGTTATAACTTTTAACCACCCATGGTTATCAAGTTCAGTTTAGGATTGACAAAAGGAACTAGATATCTAGTATGTTGCATTTAGTTTCAAACTGGACCTAGAAAGATTTTAGGATGCATATTACATGAATCTCGTGAAGACTTGAACCATTTTTTAGTTAGGTTTTGTGTAATTGAATTGGCCATTATTTTTGCTGCTGAGTGTTCACTTTTCTAAAGTTTTGGAGCTCAGGTTGGTCGGATTACATTAATGGTACTGAAACAATGTTGGCACTTGATCATAACTGCTGTTGTTAATAATCCATCTACAATGCAGGGCTGTTAGAGACCTGAATGTGTTCAGTTTCATACTGAAGGAAATTTCTTATTCTGGTGCTACTACTAAGGAGCTTTGGTCGTTACATGCCAAAACTGTTATCTAACCAGTATCTTCTATAATCGGCCAACTTAGTCCTGAAATATTCAGACTGTATTTACTGAAGTGTGTCAGTGTTGGTTTACATGAATGATACTTGCTCCACTGCTGTGTTTAATCATATTGTCCAATCCTAGCATATGCTATGCTCGCCAAGTTCAACTATCAATATCTAATTTTCTCATCTGATTTTGACACCTTGATCTTCTGCAGTTTTGTTTCACTTTTCAAGGACGAGTACAAATTACCAAAGGGATCTGTAATTGAGCTTTCGAGGGAATCAAACCATGTTCTTAAAATAAGCAGTAAGTCATTTTGTTTTCGCTTCCCTTTATTTTTAGATGATTTGAGAACTTAGGATATGATTTGTGTTGATGGAAGGAAGGAAAGATTTTAAGAGTCAGAAAGATATGTTGGTTATTCACAATGAATCGGCTTGTATTCAGTGTCCGAGTACCAGTCAGCATACACTTACTTTTCTTCACTCATCTGATTCATGTATTCGACATGGAGATTACTGAAAATAATAATGAAATCAATCTATTATTGTAATAACTTATAAATTTTTCATTGTATTTGCTAATACTTGAAAAAAGTCCAGCAAATGGTGACTACTTGCACTAATAATGGTATATGCTAAAGCTGTATAGAATTTTTGGTACGAACAAAAGCTATATAGATTCCATGTATTGTGTGGAATCTACTTTTGGGTATAAAGTAAACCATCACTGCTCGTTCTTAGAAAATAAGGATTCCACTTGTGGCATTTATATGCAATGGTAAAGATCCTCATTATGTCCATACGGTATTTCTGTCAGCTACCCATGACTTTCCTTTGTTTATTAAAAGGTTATTAGAAATCTTGATTAATAAGATCTTCATTTATGTGTAGTTGAAGGAGAAGACGTGGGAAGTATCCAGAACAAGCTCTTGTGCCAGTCTATCTTAGATCTTTACATTGGAGACGACCCGTTTGATAAGAATGCGAAAAACAACATCCAAGGAAGTTTGGCTAGCATTCTTAAAGCTTAGGAGTAGTGCTTGAATTTTAGTTACACTAAGTTTTGTAAACAAGTTGTCATTTTAGCTCCAAGAGCACTCTAATGCCTCTTCAAACATTTATGGGACGAGTGAGTTGCCTTCTGGCCCTAAATTCCGTTCGGTCAAAGGAATAAAACTATGCTAACTTAGGTCTTCATCTTGCGTGACATTTCAGTGGCTTTTACTCAGTTTGATGATTACATGACATGATTACAAGAAAGCATTAAAGCTACTACTCACTCTGTAATCTAATATAAGACTTTTTAGGTTATTTAGTGACCTAAAAAGTCTTATATTAGTTTATAGAGGGAATATAACCCAAATTCCTGCATATGGGCTGGAATGGATTGAAATTTGGTCGGCATTTTTTTTTATATAGCTTTGCTTTTGATTTGTTGTTTCGCGGACATTTGGACGCGGCCCCCTTGCATCCCTTGGCGCCGGTGTGTCGCACCTTGGTTGGAGGAACCAGGGGCAGGATGTGGTTGTTGTTGATGGTGCTTGGCCGAGAGGGTAGGCCTGACGTTTTCACTTGAAGCTGGATCATTGGGTGTTATCGTGGCAACCAGATGCCCATCGCTCAAGGCGCTCGCCTTGCTTGGTTATTTGATGATGGAAGCCAAAGACCTCTATTTGGTTGAGCTTCGAGATCTTTGAAATACTGGTGTGCTCCTTGCTAGCACTGCAAACTATTTTCTTCTTCGTGAATGAAATGCAACACTAATGCTTTTCATCAAACTACTAAACTCAGCTTATTGTCATTGAAATGTAATGTCATGAACTCATTTATAAGTATTGCGAAAAACATGAGTAGTATTATGCTAGGCGCTGCTTACCGGCATTTGTCGCGAGGGTATGGTTCCAGTTGCATGGCTTGGTCGACATCATGACTGTGCGTGTGTGCGGTTGTGTGATGATGGATTGATGGATTGACGTGTGGTAGTAACACATGGCGACTTTGTATAGGTGGTGCTCTTTGAGAGCTAGGCCTTAAGTTTCAGGGGTGAAAACTCTAGGTAGGAGTTTTTTGGTTGAACCTTGCAATGACAACTTCCATTTGGTGATCCCATATTGAAGACATATATTTATCGTTTAGTGATCAGTATCACGATGAGTCTATGGGTATGCCAATCTACCACAAGTGTTCAAAGATGAGTGGTGATACTTGTGACGCCCCGACTTAGTTATGCACTAATCATACATGCAAATGCGCACGATCAAGATTAGAGACTCACGGGAAGATATCACAACACAACTCTAAACACAAATTAAAGTCACAAGCTTTATATTACAAGCTAAGAGCCTCGAGGGCTTGAATACATAAGCTAGAATACAAACGAGTCAGCGGAAGCAACAATATCAGAGCACAGACATAAGGTAAACAAGTCTGCCTTAAGAAGGCTAGCAAAAACAACAACACCGATCGAAAAGGCAAGGCCTCCTGCCTAGGAGCCTCCTAACTACTACTGGTCGTCGGCGGTCTCCACGTAGTAGTAGGCTCCGTCGGAGTAGTAGTCGTCAGTGGGATCAACTAGCTCCTGGACTCCGTTATCTGATTGCAGCAATTGGGTATAGGGGAAAAGGGGTAGCAAAGCAACCGTGAGTACTCATCTGAAGTACTTGCAAGACGTACATCAGATCTACACTAAGTATGCATCAATACCAAAGGAATGAGGCTATATCTTTGGACTGAACTGCAGAAATGCCAGAAGAGAAGGGAAAACCTAGCCTATCAAAGACTAGCATCTCGAATCATCTTGCAGCATTAGAAGAGTGCATATTAGCATATTATAAAGTAGTAAGCATGTTATAGTAACACCCAGAGATCCTTCCTCGACTCCCTGCGAGAAAGCAATCCCGGAGCCATCATATCCATTTCATGCCTCCGACATCCAGTTCTAGTTGTATAGATCAGGATACAACTCCGAGCATCCGTTGCCATGGACACGGCTATTGGAATATATTAAACTTCCCTGCTGGGGTGCACAAACTTACCCAACACGCTCGATTAACTCTGGCCGAACACACTTTCCCGGGTCATCCTCGGCCTCGACTGATCGACATGCCGTAGTCCTACCTAGGCTCAACGGAGAGGTCAGCACGCCGGTCTACATCCTAAATGCGAAGGGGTCATGGGCCAATCGTCCTTTGCAATCATGCGCATTGCAAGGACGGACGAGATCAGTCCTGGCTACCTCTTTATACAAAGCAGGTGCTTACGCAGACCACCCGGGCGCGTGCCGCTAAACCGTTGACGTCAGTGAGCATTCAGAAGAATCATATGACGTAGAGTGCCCATACTTATTCCCGCGTGCTGGTTAGTGCTAAAAGGCCAGAGGCCTACTCAGATCACATATCCAAACCATTAGTGTCTTGGGAGCACACGAAGATGATCAATGATCCACGATCTATGGTCCCATCACCCTGTCTCACGGACTTTCGGCAAGGGCTAAGAATGCCCGGCCGTGCCGCGTAATTAAGTCGCGGGTATCCTCCGGATCCACCCGACTCCACATCACTCGCGGGTACCCTCACGATCAACCTGACTTCACATTTCTCTCGCGGGTACCTCTCGGGGCCGACCCGACTTCATCATGGTTCCAGGGTAAAGTCAAAGTAACCGTGAGTCCAAAACACCAAGGGGGAATCCGAGGAATCACCCTTGATGGATTCCACTTGATGTAACCATCAAGGTGAACTCGGAGCAATCACCCTCGAGGGTTCACACTTGAGGTGTTGCACGACAGAGTCGTTATCGGGAGTGGTGAAGGAGGAATCACCCTTCGTAGATCATGACATATTAGCTACACAACAGAGATCTCACCAGAAGTGCTAAACAAGGTATCACCCTCGGCACTCGATAGTAGCTCTACAGAGTCATAGAACTAAGGGGCTGTGAGGTGATGTGTCGGTCTCTGTACGTCGATCATGTTGATCGAGTCATCTGGTAATCCAGCGGGGGCAATAGGGACAAGGTGAGGGGTCACTGGTGGATCACTAACCAACCTATACTAAGCATATAGGATAGGCAGGTAAGGTACAAAAGTAGGCTATGCATCAGAATAGGAGCAATCAATTACATTAGCAAAATCTAATGCAAGCATGAGAGAGAATGTAATGGGCGATATAGGAATCATCAAGGGGGTTTGCTTGCCTGGTTGCTCTGTAGACAAAAACGGATCTTCATAGTGTAGTCGATCAAAGGGCATCGGCATCGGCCTCGGGGTCTACCGGAGAAGAAGAGGGGGGGAAACATCGACTCCACTGCCCCGTCTTCCCCATCTCCGGGTCGTTCCAGTCTGGGGCCTCGTCGTCGTCCACCGGCCTTGGTGCGCTCGGCACGGTGTGCTCAACGTGGTCAACAACCGAGAGTCATCGGAAGATGGCTGTACATGAGAGGCTGACAGTGGTGATGCACCACGCCCATGGACGCATGCATGCAACAGAATGCGGCATGGTCAACGTGGTCAAGGAACGACTTCCATCGGAAGTATACTGTACGTGGAGAGGCTGACAGCAGGGTCCACGGCCGCAGCAAGGAAGTGCCTCCTTATTACGCAGAAAATAATGATTCCTCCACCTGACAGCAGGGACCTATCGGACGGGCCGCCATATTTTGCGAATTTTTTTCCCCCTTGACTGCTGGGACCCACCGGACGGGCCACCATATTTCGTGAAAAAAATGTTCCCCCGCTGTCAGCTCGGACCCACCGGAAGTGCCTCCTTATTACGCAGAAAAAATGAATACTCCCCCTGCTAGCTGGGACCCACCTTGTTGGGAGGCTGACTTGTGGGCCTACTACGGGGATAGAGGGCTTTGTCAACTTAGTCAATATGAACGATTCTAGCTCCAGTGACCGTACGATGTCCATCCAACGGCCGTAGTGCTTCTTCAACCTATGGTCTTCTTGCTCCAGCCGCCCAAACCAGCGCCGGTCGTGCCGCGTGCTCCTGCCTCCTGTGGCCGGCTGTGATGCCGCGGAGGCCTCATCGCCCCCTACTACTCCCACCGCTGGCCAGGCCATCCCTCTACTCACCCACACCCCCTGTTATTCTGCGGCGATGACAGCCTCACACCGCAGCCGAACCAGTGAACCCTCGTACTCCTCTCCGCGTGGGCTTCCACTTCCACGTCTTCCCTGGCTCCGTGTCGTCCCCTTCCTAGGCCTCGCCGTCGTCCACCGTCGTGGTGCTCTCAATGCGGTGTGGTCAATGTGGTCAACGACCGACTTCCATCAGAAGAGTACTGTACGTGGTGAGGCTGACAGCTGGGTCCACGGCAGCCGCAAGGAAGTGCCTCCTTATTACGCGCAAAATAATTATTCCTCCACCTGACAGCGGGGACCCACCGGACGGGCCACAGTATTTTGCGAAAAAAATGTTTCCCCCTAACTATTAGGACCCACCAGCTACATCTTTGCATGCAAGGAAGTGCCTGACAGTCAGGACCCACCTGGTCGAAGCGTACACAACGTTGTCATTCTGGTCGCGAACGTGTACGTACATACTAGTAGATGTAGAGGCGCGCACATGTCGTAGTAGAGGCGCGCATGTAGCATGTACACGTACATACAATGGCCAGTGTGCAAGAAAGAAAATACGACCACGTACATACATACGGGAGGGGTCTCAAACGCCTACTTGCGCATACGTATGGCCAGGGCTGGTGTACATGGCTGGGTTGGAACGGCGAAACAGCATCGTCGTTGTGTTCATGGGGAGCCAACTGGCTGGGTCGGAACGAAATGCATCGTCGTGTTCATCGGGAGGGCTTGGACGGAACAGCCGATGGAAACGAGGCCTGGCGTATCGCAGAACGGAGGAAACAGCCTTGTGTTCGACCGGCCACGTTCGAACCGGGATCCTGTTCATCGGGAGGGGTCTGGCGTTCCACAAAACGGAGGAAATAGACTTGTGTTGGACCTCCTACGGTCGAAACGGGGTCCTGTTGATCGGGAGGGGTGTGGCGTACCACAAAATGGAGGAAATAG